TATTGTTTGATTCCACTTATTTATACTCATGTGAAGTTTAGTAATGTGTAACTTACTTCTGAGAATGTGTTAAACTTAGGTAATTAGGGCACCATTTTGCATTCAATGGATGTCATAAATTCCTAAACAGTACTCAAGCTACCTGAGGGAGTTCATGTTATTTAACAAAGATACACATAGTATTTACTATAGGAAGAACACTGTCCTAAGCACTTTATAAATACGAACTCCTTTATACAACATTTTCAGTATATTTAGTAGCTAAGTTTTTTTTTGTTTTTTTTTTTTTTGGGGGGGGGGAGATTTTCACTGTAGGGCGCGTGCGCTCGCCAGACAGACAGAGAGAGACATAGAGACAGAAAGCGAGAAATCCCCCCCCAGGGGGGATGGTCACGCCGCAATCCCTTCTCCTCCATTCTCCTCTCGGGATCTTGGGCACGCACGCACACGCGCCTGGCGTGAGTTTTAAGCCACGGGGTCCGGGACACGAACCGCAGTCGACTACGTGGGAGTCCAGCGACATAGCCATTACGCTAACTGCTGGTTCCCTAGTAGCTAAGTTTTTATGAAGCCAAATGATGATGTCAACTGGCATTTACCAGTCAGTCAAAGTGAACAACCACATTCACAACCAATTTTACTCTGTAAAATTAAAACTATTCCTTTCTAACAATTTAGATGATCCCACAATAATATGAATCTGGTTGGTTAACTTTCCTTACTGAAATCCTTCGAGTGCCTTCAGGACTAAGTCCAAATTCTTCAACAAGTCATGGAGGGGTCACAGCACCTATTCCCTGCTTTCCTGTTTTGTACTCCATGAACTTTAACTGTCTGCAGTTGACAGAAACAAGACAACTCGCACGTGCCTATGTACTTACTATCTTTTTGGCTGGATACACTCCCTCCCCTTAATGTGGTCATTACCTAACTCACCATCAAAACAGCTCAGACAGGGCCTACCCCAACGAGCCCACCTTGACACTCAACCTGGACTAAGTACTGGCCCTCTCTGCCTCTACGGCACTCTAATCATTTCCAGAAAATCATAAGGAAGGGCGAAGTATAATTACTTGTTCATTCATTAATCATTCCACTCATTTTTTAACTCCTTAAAGGCTATAACTGTCTTTTATCTCTAAATCCCCAGAACACTGCACAAAAATATTGGTACTTAGTAGCAGCTCAAGTAAACAAATGCCCTTCAAATAAACAAATCAACAAAGGAGCATAAGGTTTGTGAACTCTGGGCTGAAGGAAAAAGAAAGTTGCTCAAAATATTTAAGGGTACCATAACATGCCATAAATTACATATAATTAATTACTAAATAAATAACAATGGCCATATAAAATCAACACGTTTCAGGTCCAGCAACAACTCTTAGGGAAATTAGACTTATAAGAAAATGCCTTAGTTTCTGAATTGTAAGAAAACTGGGCCTACAGCAACCAGGTCTTTAAATTTTTATTTATTTACTTATTTGCTGGAGGGAGCAAGAAAGACAGAGAGGGAGAAGATAAGTATCCCCCATGGGAAATGGTCACACAGCAATTCCTTCTCCTCCATTTCTCCCTTCTTTGGGGATTTTGGCCACACACGTGCACCACATGTTTCTCAAGTCACTGGTTCTGGGACACGACCCATGCAGCTGGCCATGTGGGATCCAAGTGTCTTAACCACAGGGCCATGGAGCCAGCCCATAGATCTTTAAACTCTAACAGCCAGCCTCAGTCCTAGTTGTCAATGACTCCCAAGTGTAGTTTAAGAAGCATAGTGAACACCAATGGCCTAGGTGATGTAGACATCCAGCCAGATACACTGTGTAGAAATTACCATGTGCCAGCATTGAGATACTGTCATTCCTTCTTTCTCTAAAATGTTTATATATCTCTTCTGCAAAAGAGACAGAGACAGAGGCACTCCCACCAGGGTTCTTACATTTTGAAGTAAGACCCCCAGGTCTCAGCCAGCCCAGATACATGTGTACCCAGCATTCTCCAGGAGGTCCCAGGACACCCCAGGACTTTTCACACGTGGGTCCAGTTGCATTACTGCTATGCTACTGTCTAGCGCCTGAAGTAAGTTCTTAGAATAATTACTCTGGTGACAAGACAGAATTGTTACCTTCACTTCTGACTTGAATTCTAATGTATTCAGGAAGTTTAACCTAAATCCTACCAAACATTCATACCTTGCTAAATGCCAGTCATTTCTTCCAACTGTAAGGCAGACTGCTATAGGAAGTAGAAGCTGCACAGTCCCCAGGAATTTTCTCCCAGCAGAGAAGCCTACAAACCACAACTGCAGAAGTGGTGCTCAACAATGAAAATAAAAGGACTTGCCTGTTCACCGAAAGTGGTAGTCTTTCACTAACACAGAGGAAGCAGAAAGTACCTGAGGACTACATTACAGCCTGAGGCAGAGACTTTGGGAGTTTCCAGGTTTGATCCTGTGGTTTCCTTTGTCCATAACTCTACTTCCTTTGCCTCTCTTCCTCTCTCAAAAAATTGTGACTTGTTTTAAAATAATAATAATGCCTATATCAGCACAATCCAGACCATAGGAAACACTACAGGATAAAAAACCCAATGGCTTCAACGAAAATTTCAAGGAAAAAACAGAATGGGGAGAGACCACACATTAAAAGAGAGGCTAAAGGGGCTGGCAGGTGGCGTGGTAGCTAAAGGCGCTGGATTCCCACATGGCCGACCACAGTTCAAGCCCCAGACCTGGCGGCATACTTTCTTTTTCTCTGTCTCTCTCTGGTCAAATTTAAAATAAGATAATAATAATGAATGGAATTAAATAAATACGTAATTTTTAAAAAGAGAGAGAGAGAGACTTTAAAAACAAACAAAATATGAATTGCAGTTTATAGACATTATTTACACCCTGGTTCAAACAATTCTAAATATATATAGGAACCAGCAGGTGGCGTAATGTTATATCACTGAACTCCCACATATTTGACTGCAGCTAGAGTCCTGACCTGGCAGCTTAAAACTCACGCCAGTGCGTGCATGCCCAAAATCTCGAGAGGAGAATGGAGGAGAAGGAATTGTGGTGTGGCCACCCCCATCCCCAAAAGGATGATGTCTCACTTTATGTCTCTCTATCTCTCTGGGTAGTGCCCGTGTCCTATAGCAAAAATCTCTCTTAAAAAAAATATATATAATATGTGCACACAAACATATATGTACATACCCCACACACGTATTTATGAGATAGTAGAAATTTGAAAAGATGAGTTATTTGATAGTATCAAGTAGCCATTCTTAATTTTTAAAAGTATGATAGAACTATGATACCCTTTAAAAGGTACCTTACTAACATTTTTTATGAATGAAATGATATGATTTATTTTGAAATAATACAGGAAGGAGAAGAACACAGGTAAGACACAGAAAAAAAAAAGATTGGCCTTGAGTTAATAAATGTTGCAAATGGGAGTTCATTATATTTTTCTGTCCACTTTGGGTGTGGGTGAAATTGTTTTGCTTTAGAGGAATTACTTATTTTATTTATAATTATTATTATTTTAATTATTATTTTAATCTGCAACTGGACTCATTAGAGAGAGGAGAGAGAGGGGAAAAGTAAGAAAGCAAGCTGCTAGGTCTGGGATTTGAACCACGGTCAACCATGTGGGAGTCCAGTGCCTTAATCACCATGCCACCTGCTGGCCCATATCTGAAATTGTTTATAATCAAAGATTGCAAAGAGGTGTGAGACTATTCCTCCATAGAAGTAATCTTAACTAACTGAAAAATAAGATAGGCAATCTATGTCCCCTGCTTCTTCAGTTTCTCTATGGAAACAGGTTAAAATGGAAAAGGAAATAGGCATTTACCAAACATTAATTCAAACAACAGGATCCTTCATTAGAGGGATAGCATATCAGATTTTCAACTATAATAATTCAACTTTCATAGATAGTACTATAGACCTTTCATTTCCTAATTTATATTAACAAAAAGTTTAATAAAACTAGCTACTTGGCTATAGATACAGATTTAAATACTGTTATTCTATCTTTACATATTTTATGCATATTGATAAGTTAGCTCAATTATTATATCATCAAAATAAATCTTAAATCATTGATAAATAAATGTATACTTGTCAAAACATTCAGCCTGCTTTTGCTTCAGCAAAATTTACAAATATGTTCTACTACTTGAAAAGGTCCTCTCTCGATATATACTTACAGGTGGGTGAGCAGGCTGTCAGGTTGATGTATACAAAGCAAAAAAAAGAAAAAAAAATGTACATGGTTCCAAAAACATTTATTGAAATTAGGCAGTAGTATGAAAATAACTCTCAGACATATCTGTGGATATATCTAACTACAGGTGCAATGCCAAACCAGATTTCTTAAATATAATTTAAACATGCTCAATAAACACCACAGCCCTAATTATACCAACGAGATTGCTCCCAGTGAACAAAGGTTTGGGGGACGCCTTTTAGAAGGTAGAGGTGAAGGGGCACATCTCTTGTGTTCACAAATCTGAGTAAGCTGAGGACCGCGATGTTTGGCTTATTTTTACAAGTTTGGGTTTCTTAGGGATGTCTAGCCTTGTTTTTTGCCAGTTTCCTGCCGTGCCAGTCTGGGGTTAAATCACTTACAAAGTCTTTTCTCTTTGAGGATTAAAATAACAACAATGATGATGCAAACCCTGCCCACTCTCCCTTTCCCACTAGGCAAGGCTTTTGCTTGGCAGAAGTGCGAGGGTCTCCGCCCCTCTGCTCAGGTTGCCGCACTGCCAGAGGCATCCGGCACAAACTCCTCTGCAGCAAAGCCCTGGGCCTGTGCTTCTTTTGACTCTTTTTTGTTCCTCCGGGGGTTTTTTTGCACAGGGAGCTCCAGGCTCGACTCGCATTCGGATTGCACTCATCTCACTGAAGACACCGCGTCTCCAGGGCAACGGAGAGCATATGCCGGGTCGCGGGCGGGCCTGGCCCAGCTGAGGACCACCCCCAGGCCTGCGCCTCTCACCTGCCGGCCTCTTTGGTCGCCCCGCACCCGCGTGTCCAACGCATCGTGGCGAGTTTCGTCTTCGCCACCGGAGCTGTAGATAAGGCGCAGTGGCACGATGCTCTGGCGCTCCAGGAAGCGGTTTTCGTTCCTCCTCTCCGTCAATGAGGCGTCTCCTCCAGGCAGGGAAGAATGGAGAGAAAAGGCGATAATAATGACCCTGACCCACGCTCTTCGGTCCCCCGGTCCCATGTTTCACCTACGAAAATTCCACTGCCTCCTCCCTGGAGGACCCCATCTGGGAAGGACGGAGGGACACCAGCCGGAGAGCCTTGGACCAGCTCATCTGAGAGCATCCATATCAGGGCCCAGAAGCAAGCACCCCTTTCCCACCATCCTCATTTCTCTTCTTCGTAAGAAAAACGGGTATTTGGACGAAAGCTTCCAAGTCATCCGCGCACCCCCGCACATATTTTTTTGCTCTACTTCTCACCACCCTTCAAAATAAATAAGTAAATAAAATCTCCCCGCGCGCTTGGGAAATGGGGGTGCCCCTTTTCAGTAAACCTAAGCGCTCCAAAGACTCCCAGAAAATGGTACGTCCCGAAGCCACAGAGGGTGGCGAACATACCTGCTCGTCCGCAACGCGCCAGGGGGCAGGTCCCCAAGGCGCAAAGCAGCAAGAAGGGCACGGACGCAGCCGCCACCGCCTGCATGATGCTGGCG